CTAGGAAAAATTTTGCAGATATTAAAGTACACCAATCTTAATGGGTGAGCAATGGTCCGAGTTCAATTCGGCAACTAGCACGAGCGATTCAGGTCAAACCTACAACCAAGTAGCTTGACAATGGGAAAATTACCAAAAAAATCTAAAGCTATTGAAATTGTGACAACTCAATCCTAAATTTTTTTTTTGTCAATTGATTCCTAAATCTTTTGTATTTATACCAATTCAGTTTATTTGGCTAATGTTGGCTAGCCGACACTGACATAGCTCAGCCAGCACTAACGTGGACAATTTTTAATAATATTTTAATATTTTTTAAATTTATTTATTTTTCTTTTCTTTTCTTTTTCTTCCTTCTTCCTTAGACCAGCGAGGGGCAACCTCGCTGGATCTAGCGGGGGCTCGCCTCATCAGTGGCTGAGCGAGGCGAGCCTTCGCCTGCCCCTGGCGAGGCGAGCCTTGCCATCGTTGGGTGAGGTCGGCCTTGGCAGTGGTTGGGGGAGCTTGCCCTTGCCCAACGACGACAAGGCCGACTAGAGGAAGAAGGAAGAAGGAAGGAAAAAAAAAAAAAAAAAATAAAGGAAAAATAAAAAAATTCAAAAATACATTAAAATATTATTAAAAATTATCTACGTTAGTGCCGGTCGTGCCACATCAGTGCCGGCCGGCCAAAATTGGTAAGATGGACTGAATTGGTACAAATGCAAAAAGCTTAGGACTCAATTGTCATAAAAAAATGCTTAGAACTAAATTGACACAATTGTAATAGGTTTAGGACTTTTTTTGGTAATTCTCCCGCTTGAGAATTGATCGGGTTTGATTGAGTTCCAAGGGTAAGGGTTGAACCCGCCAATTTTTTCTAGGAATCAAACCGACCAAGTTAGTCTAGGGTTGAACCAATATTGAACCGGTTAATAATATTTTTTTTAACAAAAAGTAAATTTTATTAATGACTAAAATGTCAATGAGATAAATGGCTCAGAATCCATTTACTCATTCTGGCCATTTGCATCTCTTTTGGCCTCTCCAATTTCGCCCAAAGAGAAGGATAGGAAAGAAAAAAGAGGAAAGGACAAAAATAAATAATTTGAAAAACAGAATCCTATAAAATTATCGCTTCTATCACTTAAGATAATTAGCCAATAAAAAATATTTTCATTATCGATAAAAATTTATATTTAAACATTTTTATGAACGACATCTTTGTAAGTAATACGAGTGATATTTTTTGGAAATTTTTTTAAAATTATTCTTTTTTCTGCAAATAAATGGAGTCAAAGAGTAACAGATGCGCTCTTGACTTTGTAGTTGGAATCTTGCGGGACGGTTCAATCACAAAACTTCATTCTACTCATTTCTTTTGTCATGTTGGATAGATTAGCTTCGATTTCGAAAGCTACTCATTCATTTTCTTGTCAGTCAAATTAAACCTCCTAATGGGAGTCCTTTGATTAGATACATTGTTAGGCTTTGGACCGGGTCGGATCTGCCCATGATGTGCCGACCCTAACTCGGCTCGTACTACTCGAGTGTGTGCATATGTGTTTGACTGACTATTGTGCTTGAGCTTTCAATTTGTCTGAGAGGATAATAACATAGGTCGTTTCCTAAACTTTTCATCAATGTTCGATGTAGTCACATCAGTTAATAGTGTTATATTTTTAATGAAAGGATTGTATTGAATAGATTCTTTTAAAGTTTGAGGATTAGATTGAATAAAGGGCAATGCAACACAAACGTACAAGAAAAGACAAATCCATAGTAGTTATAAATACATTAAAAGGAACCAAAAAGACTTTCCTATAGTCTTGCAAAGCTCAATTCAACAAGAACGTGCAAGCAAAGACAAACCTATAGGAGTCACTGAGATATTGATTAAACGTCTTATTATATTTGGCCAAATAAAGAAAAGTTAAAACATGGTTTTGTTCTGCCGATAACAGCCAATCTTTTTTATATGTTGATTATTCAACTTTACCATACACGGAACAAAATTTCGTTTTGGGCAAATGATAGTTTTTAGAACTCCACATGTTCCGTAAGGCTCTATTCGTTTGGCGGAAAATATTCTCCCGGAAAATATTCTCCGGGTTTTCCGGTGTTCGGGGGGCGGAAAACGTTTTCCGTAGGAAAATATTTTCCTTCCACCCCTCACAAAATAGCCTAAGTCTATGGAAAATAACTTCCGCTTTTTCAAAAACGAAAATCATTTTCCGGAGCTTCTTCTTCTTCTTCTTCACTAAGGTCGCCGGCCGCCGCCGGCCGCCCGGTCGCCGGCGGCGGCCGCCGCGGTCGCCGGCCGCCGCCGCTGTCGCCCGCCGCCGCCGGTCGCCGCCGCCGGCGGCCGCGCTGCCGGTCGCCTGCCGCCGCCGCCGCCGGCGAAAATATTTTCCGAAACTTTTTCATATTGATCACGAACACCGGAAAATTATGTTCCGGGAAAACATTTTCCAAGAAAATGACTTCCGGGAAAATATTTTCCAAAAGGAGAATATATTTTGCCAAACGAACGGAGCCTAAATCTTTCGGTTTTCTCTTTATCACATTCTATTGTTAAAGTTAGTAAGCGTCTTTTTCCCCCTAATTTAGTTATTTTTCTATCCCTGATATTATTCAGATTACTTTTGTAAAGCGTACTTAATTAGAAGGATTTTGTTAACAACCACCCCGTTAAGGAAAACTTGTGATTCTTAATACAATTTCTCTCTGGTGATATGCCTTAAAACAAATCAAAATATTTCTTAATGAATATGGTTACTAAGTGTTCCGAGAGCATTTGTTAACAAGACCTAATTTAAAATATTGAACCAAAGTAATGGTAACACATAACACGAGACAGTCAGTGACTTGGACACAATGAAAGATAAAAAGAAAAAACAATTCAGAATTTTTTATAAAAAAATTACTAAAAAAATATTTGCGTCAGTCGATTCTGCCAAGTAGGATAACTAGCTCCACATCAGTGATTTCCTGCCAAAATTGAAAGGCTAAGACTAAATTGACCAAATTAAAAGGTTTTGGATTAAATTGGCACACATGTAATATGTTAAAAACTTTTTTTGGTAATTATTCCAAAGTAACACGGTAAAGTATTGGCCATTCGCGCAAGTGCCCACTTGCATGCCTTGTCACTTAAAACATCATCCTACCGATCTAACATGGTATACCTAGCATAGCGTTGATCCGCATTTATTATTTTTAATCAGAGCTGAGATGGCTAACCTTTCTTTCTTTCCACCTTCTTTTTTTTTCCTAACTAGGAAAGTGCATGAAGATCAGGCAGGCAAAAAAATTAGGCGATAAGTACATTGGAAACCTTAAAACTTATCATGATAATGCAATTAAGTCCTCAAACTTGTTGCGAAAGTGCAGTCCTCAAACTTTCAAATTGTGTAATTAAGTCCTAAAACTTGTCAAATTAGTCCAATCAAATCCTTCCATTGATTGTACTTTTTAAAAGTTTTAGGACTTCATTATATTTTCCCGAAAAATTTTAGGATTTGATTACACTTTTTGAAAGTTTTGAGACTTAATTGCATTTTTTGAAAGTTTTGGGATTCAATTGTATTTTCATGACAAGTTTTAAAACTTCCAGTCCACTTATCCCGAAAAATTAGAAATGGAGTATATAAATTGGGATCTCAATGAAACACAGATCGCTATTAGGCCAATAAAAGAAGACGGTAGCTTTTGGCCCTTATACAAATTAGTGTTAGTCAGCGCGTAGGAAGCAAAATGCGAGGATGGAAAGGTCGAACTCCAGCACGAGAGGATGTATTGGCTGACCATTCATTTATGCGCGCGCGCACAGAGATGTTCTCACTCATTTCCGACGTGCATCAACGGCACTCCCCTAACTTGGGCTGCCCCGCGTGCCATATCCTAACGAAGACGACTCAGAACTAATCCAACTTGGGTGTTACACTGATGCAGTTTCCTCGTCATTTCTTGCCTGCGAAATACGACCAAAAGATTCAGATGACGCGAACTTTTTGCACGTCCTTGGCCTCCTGTGTCGGGTTCAAGCATTCTGCAGGGATCGAGGCCCTGGGTCGAGGAATCTGGGGTTGAATTAGAGCTCGAACAATGATTTGCTACCTTCATTGTAATCACCTAGATTCTATTGTGTCACCACAACCATGCCCAATTCCAATCAGGACGCTGTTCATCTCCCGAGCTCTGGATTCTTGCTTAATATCATAGTAACCTGAGAACCAATGTCCAGAATTAAAAAAACAGTTGTAGATTATGAGCTATCAATAATAAACAATTATCTTCTGCAGATCTTCTTCATCTAGCTATGAGCAATTGAAATCAGACACATCCAATTTTAGGTTCAGAGCGGGAAACCAATCTCATGGAGCTTTAACAGTGTTTCAGGAGTAACTTTACCTGACACAATGTGCGTAATGGACATATCAAGCAACTCATCCTTTTTGAAGTAGCAAGCTATGAACTTTCCATTGTTTCCCAGCATATAAACCTAGATTTAAATACATGAAGATACGGTCTTGTGCTCATATGAAACAGAAGATGACTTCTGCTTCATGCTTGAAGGCAAGTTTTCTAAGGGGAAGTTTAGATAGATCCTAAACTTCATTTGATCTTCAGTTCAATTAAGTACCGAACAGGTTTATCTCAACGTTCATTTTAATGGCTTCTTGTAAGATCGCATGTTGAGGCTTTGCATACGTCTGTGCAATTTGGGGGTGAAGAATAGAATGGAGGAGATCAAACATATGAAAAGCATAGCTTCTCAAAAAAAGTTATCTTCCTCATTGCACATACTCAGTGGAAAGAAAATCAGATCAATTAGCATCCGACTCCATATTACATTCACTTCGCATACGAATTCGGGAATTGGAGCAACTATAAACTAGAGCTTAAGGATACTGTTAAATTATATCTCGAATTTGAGCCGTTTATGAAACTTGATCTGGTTGGATAAATATATAAGTTTTTTTTTTTGGTCGTAAACTGATTAACTTTTATTTAATTTGAAAACGCAGAGCCCATAAACTGGGCTTCCTTACAAAGTAAATCCAACAAGATTTGGGGAGGGGAAGAAATCCAGTCCCTCGGCAGAGTTTTGTGGCGCTGAGCTTTTGCGGCCCAGTCCGCTATGGAGTTGGCTTCACGATGGCAATGGGTGATACGCAACTGTGAGAAGCTAGAGGACAGATCAAGGCATTGGGAGATAATTGCACGTGCATCCCATGGAATAAGGTCTGAGTTTTCCATAGCTTTAACCAAAGTCAGATTGTCTGACTCTAACTCAAGGGGATAGTGTCTTCGAGGGACTAAGAACTTTAGGGTTTCCAAGAGAGCCACAAATTCCGCTTGAGAGGCTGAGGAGACATGGATTTGTTTTGCAAAGCCATCCACAAGTGTCCCTTATGAGTTTCGAACGATGCAAGCGATTGCGCCTTCCATGGAACTTTCGACGAAGGATCCATCAATATTGACCTTTAAAGATCCACCCTTTGGGGGCTTTCCAGGTCTCAAAAGAGGTGGGTGCATCAAGGTCCGATTTTTGCTTTGAATTCCATCTCCTGTAATTGCTGAGAGAAGTTAGAGCTCCTTGTAGTGCTTGAACTGGGTCTGGGAGCTTCTTTCGAAAGATAAAGGTGTTGCGGGAAGTCCAAATAAACCAGAAGATGGTTGCAACAAGTTCCAAAGAAGGTAGGTTTCCTGTACTTTTAAGGAATTGCATTAGCCATGTCTCTATTCTGCTTAACCCTTGGGAAGATACCTGAATGTTTAGGGATGGTTGAGCCCATATTTCTCTTGTCCAGGGACAAAGAAGAAGGAGATGCTCTGTGGATTTCACCTGGTCTTTACACAGTGAGCATAATGGATCTGATACTATTTTTCGCTTGTGTAAGTTCTCCATTGTGGGTAGACTATTCTGACATGCATTCCATAGAAAGAACTTAATTTTAGGGATGGTTTCCATTTTCCAAATCTTATTCCACAAAGCTCGAGGAGCCGAGAAAGATGAAGAGGCCTTTGGAGCTTTTCGGATATTCTCAGTAAGTCTTATGTTGTTGTAGCCACTCTTTACTGAGTAATTTCCTGTTGATGAATATGTCCACACCAGTTTGTCTTGAATGGAGTGAGTGCTTAGAGGAATAGCGAGAATTTCTTTCACTATTTCTTCTTCGAACATATTTCAAAGAAGAGGTTCATTCTAGGAATTTTCTTCGTTGTTTATAAGCTCTACTACCTTTTGTGGGTCATTTTCATTCGATGGCCCTCCAATTACTCCTCTTTTCAACCATCTGTCCTCTCTGATACTGATTGCTTCTCCTGTTCCCATTGTCCACATTGAAGATTCTGAGATTGAGTCTCTTCCCAATAGTAAGCTTCGCCAGCCCCAAGAGGGTCTATGCCCTTTCCCAGCATGCCAGAAACTCTTGTTTGGGACGTAAATCCCTTTAAAAATTTGACCCCATAAAGAGGACGATTGATGCATTAATCTCCATGCTTGCTTTCCTAAGAAAGCCTTGTTAACAGAAAGTAAATCTTTGAATCCCATGCCTCCATTGTCTTTCCTTTGTTTCAAGAATTCCCAACTCTTCCAATGAATTCCAGAGTGAGATTCTCTGTTTTTCCACCAAAATGCTGCCATTCTCTTTTCAATCGCTTTACATATGGAAACAGGAATCTTGAAAATTGACATTGCATATTGAGGAAGAGCCTGCACTACTATTTTTAGTAATATCTCCTTCCCCACTTTAGAAATTAAAGATTCCTTCCAACCTTCCAGTTTTTTGTTAACTCGACCAAGTATCCAGGCAAACATATTCTTCTTAGACTCTCCCCAATCCGACGGAATTCCAAGGTATTTTCCTGTTTTATCCGGTTCGGGGACACGCAGTTCATAAGCCATATTTGCTCTTAAGGTGCAGTGGGCACCACGAGCTAAAAAATATTCCTGATTTGTTTAGGTTTATCTCCTGTCCAGTAGCAAAACAATACTGATGCAAAACATCTGATACAGATTGGCATTCTTGAATTCTCCCATCCAAAAAGAAGATGGAGTTTACGATAGATTCTCTCCCGGTTTGGGTTAGGCTAAGAGATATTCCATTCTCTTTATGGTCTCCGGCTGGTATTAGTCGAATTGCCAGCGCCATTGGGAAACCACTTTACGTGGATGTGCAAACGGAACAGATGACTAGAATTTCTTATGCACGAGTTTGTGTGGAAATTAAGGCCACAAAACCCCGAGTGGAAGCAGTTAAGGTTCGTTGGGACGGTGAAGTAAATCTGATCCATATCGAATATGAATGGAAGCCCCTGGCGTGTTCTTCTTGTGGCATTTTTGGGCATAAATTGGGCTCCAGTGGATGTGCATTTGCACATACTGAACATAGAGCTGAGACTATTATTCGACCTCAAGGAACAGAAGCTTGGACTCAAGTCATCAGGAAAAAAAGGCAAATTTCCTTCTGGCAAGCCTTCAAACCAGAGCCAACTTGCAACAGACTCTCAACTGGCGCCGACTCTGGGGGGGGAAGATCTTCTGCCTCCTGTTCTGAACCCCGCTGCTGAACCTGGTCTGATAGGTGCTGAAATGAATCATTCCAAGGACTCTAAGGCAGGACCGAGCCATCCCTCTGTTCCGTGTCCTCCGGGATGTATTGACTAGCAGATTGAGGATCTTGCTTTAAACTCTCAGTCATCTACAGAAGATTCTGCTGATTCTCGGGTAGTTTTGGAGAATAGTGCCTCTGAAGATATGGTGGAGGAAGAACCTGCTGTTGTATCCCCCCCTAATACCCGCTCACGAACTTTGGCTTCCAGTGCCACGGATGAGACTACCAAGACCTCTCCTGGTTCAATACCTAGCTCGGTGTGTCCTATTTCAGCTCCTAAACCGTCCTCCTCGAAAAAGAAATCCAAGAGGAGGAGGCCAAGGAAAGCCTAGAGGTAACTTTCCCCGTGTTTCTATGTTTTTTGGTATATGGAATATTAGGGGTCTAGTAGATCCCCTTAGACAATCAGAAATTCGGGCCTTTATTAGGATAAACCGCCTCTCCTGTATTGGCATTGTTGAAACAAAAGCCAAAGCCTCTCTTTTTGCTGATATTTCTAGAGGCTTATGCGATAATTGGCGTTGGATATCCAACTATGAATTTTCCCCCCTTGGTAGAATTTGGTTTGGTTGGGACCCGAATGAGATGGAGATGAGTCTTCTCTTCTCCTCTGGACAATTGATTCATGCTCAGCTTAGGCTCTTGAATATGCATAAATCTTGTCTTATCACAATTGTATATGGAGAACATACCTTTGTGAAGCGCCGTCCATTATGGGCTGACCTTGTGCGGCTTTCCTCAAGTGACTTACCTTGGATTGTTGCTGGAGATTTCAATGCCATCAGAGATCCGGGTGATAGAGTGGGTAGCACAACCCCGTGGATTCCGGCTTTTGATGAATTCGGGGACTGCCTAAACCAGGCCGGACTAGAGGATCTTCGATATGTGGGTTGTAGGTACACTTGGTCTCATTCTTCAGGTGTTAATCGGAAACTCGATAAGATTGATTGGGTGCTCACTAATGACATCTGGGCACAGCAGTTCTCCTTCTCAGAAGCCACCTTTTTAGCGCCTGGTATTTCCGATCATTCCCCTATGTTGATAAAAATTTCACCGACAAATAGTTCCAAGAAACCTTTCAAGTTTTTCAACTTATGAGCTACACACCCTAAATTCTTGGAGCTAGTAGCTCAAGCTTGGGATACTCATATAGTTGGCACACCTATGTATATGATTTGTTGCAAACTTCGGGTTCTTAAAACAAAGTTGAAACACTTGAATAGAAGTTCCTTCTCAGCTATTTCCACAAGGACTGAACAGGCCATAGCAGACCTCTATGCTGTTCAGTCAGCCTTGGAGCATCATCCCTTTGATCAGAGCCTACGTGATAGCGAATTGGAGCACATACGATCCTTCTCTGCTCTTAGATTACAAGAGGAATCCTTCTTCAGACAGAAATCCCGGATTCGATGGCTTAAGGAGGGGGACATGAATACTAAATTCTTTCATCACTTTGTCAACAAAAGGCGTTTACAAAATCAAATCATATCGGTGTCGACAGAGGATGGAGTTCTAATAACTGACCCGCAGGCGGTTAGGAACCACATTGTTGGTCACTTTCAGGAGCTACTCAACGGTACTACTGCTTCTATTCAGCCCTCTGTTAGGGAGATAGGTGGTTTTATTGGCCAGGTTTTAGATGAGGATCAGAGGAACCTACTAGCACAACCGGTTTCGGATGAGGAAATCCAATCTACCCTTTTTTCGCTCGCTAAAGGCAAAGCCCCTGGGCCGGATGGGTATAATGCTGATTTCTTTAAAACTTCTTGGGAGCTCATTGGACCCTCCATCCTCATGGTGGTAAGGGACTTCTTTCAGTCTGGATGCCTGCTTAAAGAGTTAAACAATACCATTCTAACTCTAGTGCCGAAATCCCCTAATGATTCGGCCATGAATGATTTCCGTCCAATTGCATGTTGCAATACCCTATACAAATGCATTTCTAAAATCCTGGCTAGGCGTATAGCACGTGTTTTACCAACTTTGATTGGCCCTGCCCAAACGGCTTTTGTTAAAGGACGTAGAATTACCGACAATATCATGATGGCTCAAGAGTTGTTTGCGGATTTTCACCATCAGGCATACCTTCCTAAGTGTGCCATTAAAGTGGATTTTCAAAAAGCTTATGATACTGTTGACTGGAACTTCATTGAAAAGGCATTATTGGCCTTCAAATTTCCGGACTTCTTCGTCAAGCTGGTTATGGCTTGTGTGTCGACAGCCAAATTCTCGGTCTCAATCAATGGGGAATTACATGGCTTTTTCGGCAGTTCTCGAGGTATACGCCAAGGAGACCCGTTATCGCCGTATCTGTTTATACTGGTTATGGAAGTCTTCTCTAGTATACTAAAGGCCAAAACAGAGATTCCGGATTTTCACTGGTTTTGGCGCTGTAAAAAGACCCGTATATCTCACCTTTTTTTTGCGGATGATGTGCTATTGTTTTCAGAAGGTCACTTGAGGTCAGTTGAGCTAATCAAGGAATCTCTCCATATGTTCACTGATTGGTCTGGTTTAAAACCAAATGCCGGGAAAAGCAATATCTTCCTCTCGGGGGGGATTTCGGCTATGCATGGCCAATTACTTCAATGCCTCGGGTTTCAACAAGGTACACTTCCTTTTCAGTACTTAGGCGTGCCTATTATCTCGTCTAGATTGCGTAAAGAGGACTGTAAAATCTTGGTTGATTCTATAACTGCAAGAGCCCGCTCCTGGACTCAACGGTTTCTGTCCTTTGCTGGTAGACTACAACTCATCAAATCGGTCCTGCATTCCATTCAAGTGTATTGGGCCACTATTTTCTCTCGTCTGAAATCAATGTTGTATAGAATTGAGGCTGTTTTGCGACAATTTCTATGGAAAGGTCCTGACCTAGGCATAGGTGGAGCTAGGGTAGCATGGAATGCTGTATGTCTACCCAAAGAAGAAGGTGGCCTTGGGATATGGCGACTTGTAGAATACAATAGAGCTTTGACTCTTAAACATATATGGCTTCTCTTCACTGATAAGGAATCCATGTGGTGCAAATGGATACACTCGACCTTCTTAAAAAAGGCTAACTTTTGGGTGGTATCCAAACCTACTTTTTGCTCTTGGACATGGAAGAAAATCCTGGACTTGCGTGCTTCTGCTCAGGCAATGTTTAGGTGGAAGATTGGTAATGGGCACTCGATCTCCTTTTGGTTTGACTGGTGGCACAGCAAAGGCCCCCTCTACCTTATATTCAGCAATGTTGACATTTACCAGTCGCGGATCCCCCGGGATACTTCGGTTCGGAAGTTCTATGATTGTACTTGGCAGCCTTCCAATACACTAGACACTATCCTGAGTTGGACGGACTCACCACCAATCTTTGTGGAAAATACACTGGACAAATTTTTGTGGACTCCACAGCCTTCTAACTCCTTCTCGGTAGCTCTAGCGTGGAATCATATCAGAAGGAAAGGGCATCCAGCCCCTTGGCATTCTTTCATCTGGGATCATCACATTGCCCCCCGGCATGCCTTCCTTTTGTGGCTGGTATCTCTTAACCGTCTACCTACCCAGGTATTCCTATTACAAAACCGCAGGATTGACAATGCTATGTGCGCCTTCTGTGGTTCCAGACCGGATTCAATCAACCACCTTTTCTTTGAATGCACTTCTACTAGTAGGTTGGCTTCTCTTTGGGCAACAAAATGCAGCCTACCTTGGCGCAACCGACCTTGGCAAGAGCATGTTAGGTGGGCGATGAAAGTGTGCGCTGGATCTTCCTTTGCTCACCGCATATCTAGATTTTCCTTTGGTGCACTATGTCATATCATTTGGACTGAAAGGAACAACGCCATCTTCAGAGGCAAGAGCATCTATATCCCGGGTATGCGCAAACATCTTATCAAAGTTGTGATGGAAAAAGCCATATCCATTGGGAGAGCGGAGGATACACATAGGAACCGAATATTACAAAGAAAGTGGGGACTTCCACCTTTTAACTCGGTGTATTAGTCCCTGTTGTTTTGTTTGACTTCTTTGTCACTTGTTG